AATCATCAGTAAAGTATGGTGGTGAGAACTATGTATTTCTAAAAAATCTCCTATGAGTTTTGGTCGCGTCCAAATAGTCCGTCTTTTGAATAGGAGATTCTTAAGGGTTCACTTTTGAATATGTGACGCGCTTGAATAACTTTGTATTTTCTCATTTTCTGTCTTTTTGTATGGCCACCCCACCATGAAAACCGACAGATTATGCACTTTTTATAAATATTAGAATCGCCTAAGTATTTCTTTGTGACTTTTTTGAATACCTCTGTACACACTCCTCCCACTTTTTTCTTTTTAACATCTAATTTTTACAGTACAATAGGTCCCCACGATGCTCAAGTAAATCCATATTTGGCATCCTCGCCACCCCTACTACTTATTTTCGGTCATGAAATAGTTTCATGCAAAAATCATGCTAAAACACTTTGTTTAATGGTAAATATGATAAAATAGCAAGAGTTATGGTTGGTGATCATAGAGAATCAATCGATAAATAAGTGTTCATGGTATGTTTGTTCAAATATATTATGAACGACTCTTGAATAGTTATTCACTGTTTCTCAAATTGATAAGTTTATAAAATTATAGTATACAGCAATAATCCCCTTATAATTTGTAATATTTTTAGATATTTTTATTCGATTTTTTTTGTTACTAATTTTCCGACCACCTTGTATAATGGATAAGTATATTTTTAATATATCGTCGCCTTAAAACACAAAGTGTCCAAACTAATATTTTGAAAACTTTACAGTAGACCAAAAAAAGGCCGTTAGTGCGATCTAGATTGACTTTTGTTAGATATGCCTTTTATTTTGTCTGCTACAGCATTAGAGCTTTTGCTGTTACAGTTGCGACAATCTGAGCACTTTTAGATCACCGTAAAAGTACTGTAAATTAAAATACTACCCTCTGCCACATTACTGTAAAATTTTCAAAATTTTAGTTAAGATAGATACTTTGTGTGGACGATATGTTATATGCTGGCTATGGATTGTTAGCAATAAAAAGCTTGTAAAAAGATATATTGATTCGGGTGAAAAATATAAAGGGTGTTATTTATTTTAAAAAACGTAAACGCTTTGGGGTGAATATATCAAAAATAGAAATATTTAAAAAAAAAACTATCAACGCTACTGGATTCCTTGTAAATATCTCTATAAATGCCCCCATACACTTCGGTTATTTTGCTCGGTTGTAACCGTGCAGTCAAAAGCCGCGCTGTTAGAAAGCACGGGCAAGTAACCTCCATACACTGTCTCATTTTGGTCAGTTCATATTATCCTGGTCCTTATCCTATAAGGAACTTGTTCCTTATCCAGGTAGTTAAGAACGATTGATTCAAGAAACAACTCGCCAGCAGTAGCGGCGGTAATTGGGGTAAAAAGAATATCCCGGAAAGAAAAAGGTACAATGCACCGAAATTTTTTTTAAAGAACTGGCAAAACTGGTCCGAACACTCACATACACTGACGTTTGTACTTAAAAACTTCCTATTTTTGTTAAACTACTTTAGGGTGGCTACAACGACGTCCAGTAATCCTGCTGTTAAAACATAACAATTGGTTTTTATATATAAAAACCAGCTGTTATGTCTTAACAGCAGGATTACGGGACGTCGGCGTCGGCGTCGTTGTAATCACCCTTAATCATGTACTTTAGGAGGCAATAGAGAAAGAGACAACACCGGTATCAGGTCTAAAGGAGAGAACAAGTTAAAGAGGTGGAAATACCCTATCCCCCTTACAACAGAAAAATTCATGTATGATGAATGATGAGTTATAGACAGTATGGTGAGTTGTAACTCAAGAAGGAGGGACACAATAGATCTTTAAGGTCGCAGTGATTAACCCCCCTTCCACTCATTCTACATTCCACAATAATGTATTTATTTTATAAATATTTGTACTTTTTTGTATAATAAATTTTATTAATTAAAATATTTAGTTTGTTTTATTTTAATACCTAGATTTATAAAGAATAATTAGTAAATATCCTTTAAACTTTGCTCCTAATACTTTACCTTCTCGCTCTTATACATTCCTGATTAAAATATAGCATTCTCATAACATATTTGACTTGGTAAATGTTCAGTTATTTATATCAAATTTTTTCAACTAGATGGTGAATGTAACTGCTTACTCCTGGTATCGAAAAATACCTTCTCGTTTTATATGCTCCTGATACAAATTTAAGGATTTTGTTCTCTATACGATATTTAAGAATCTTGACAAAATGGCGAATGTAACTGCTTACTCCTTGTATCGAAAAATACCTCCTCGCACTCATATGTTCCTGATACAAATTAAATTTTTCTCCGCTTTTGACAAAACCGACCAAAAATAATTTCGACCTGGCAAATTTTGGAGCAACTGACCAACGAGTTAGAATTGCTAGATTTTTTTGGAAAAACGGCCATAACTTCTAAACTAAAAGAGATATCGAGGAACGGAACTCGGCATTCGATTCGCCTTTCAACCCTCTATAAGGGTGCATAATTAGGGCGCGATGGGAGACAAAAAAAAATTTTCGCCAAAAATGAAGGAAGGTTTACCCCTTACCTCATTTTTCGCCAAAAATTTTTTTTGTTGCCGATCGCGCCCTCGTTTTGCGCCCTTATAGAGGGTTAAATTGCCTATCGAAAGCCGCCCCCCGTTTCTCTCTAGCTCTTATAGTTTCCGAGATATTAGGGGTTGAAGTTTGGAAACGAGTTCGAAGTGCTAGAGATAGCAGAAATATCGTTGAAAAATGCTTTAATTACGGGTGGTACTAAATTTGCTCCTTACCTCTTCACGCTTATGCGTTCCTGATAGAAATCGGTGATTTTTGACACGGTTTAAAAATTTCCGTGCAGTGTTTGACAAAAATTGGATTTTGTCGGATTTGTATCAGGAGTATAAGAGCGACTAGGTAAATGTTGATACTTAATTTACTCCTTACCTCTTCACACTTATGTGTTCCTGATAGAAATCGGTGATTTTGAATAATGATTAAAATTTTTCGTTCAATGCTGAATTTTCTCGGTATCAGGGGTTGTATCAGGGGTGCATAAGAGCGAAGAGGTAATCGTAGGTATTATTTTTATATAAAATACTGTCTAATTTCTGAACAAATTATTAAGTTGTTTATTATTAGAATATATTAATTTTGTGATAATTAAATGAATTTTTCTTTTTGTTCAGGATCAGACAGTATTTCTAAGAGGTATATTTTGGTTAAATTAAACTCATTTATTTTTAATAATTATTTATTAACATATTATATTTTATTAACAAGAGTAATATAAAAAGTATTTTAACATCCAAGGTGTTGATGGACATGCTGGTGTCTTATGTTGAGGTAAATAAATCTTCTGCCTACTCTTCTGGAAAGTCTTGGTTCTGTAACAAAAATATAAAGAAACAATTAATTATTTATCACTACCAAGCATGATTAAAAACTATTACATCTATAAGTTAAAATTTTCACTAAATTGATAGGGTACATAAAATATATTATAAGATATATAGGAATCTTCGTAACATAGAGTACATTTTTTGAAAGTAATACAAAGAATAACGTGTTTAAGCTGTATTTGTAATTAAGAAATATTATAATTATAATATTAAAGTGTCAAAAACTAAATTAAAAAATTCAAACTATTTATACAGGCAACTCATTATACACGTTAAGTGTATTTTTAGTTGCCTATACAATAAGTAAATTAGGCGCCAAAATGTTTTATTTGAAATTAATCATTTATACATCTACATGTTTAATATCTATATGTTTTACTTATTATAAAATACAATATTACGTATTTATTAAACAAATTCAATTCAATTTAAAATATACATCTTTTAGTATAGTTTACCTAAAATTAATAAGCATCTTCTTCAATGATGAATTTCATCCCCAATCCACTGTTGAATGTTGAATTTAATCGACGTAATGGCATCTTGAAGAGGGTGGTTGCATTGAAGTGCAGCTGTTCTAAAAAATCCTTGTTCCAAAGCAGTACAATATGCCATTCAAAAACTCAGTTTTAAACGGACTTAGAAATGGAATCAAAAGCAATTAGAAAATGAATCCAGAACTAGACAAAACTATGTAGGCATCAAAAGAAATAAAATCAAAGACTTGGAAGTCTCAGAAGAATAGCAGCTATAAAAAATAAGCTGTTATTCTATACAGGCAATAAAAATGTGAAAATGCTATGGCTTAGAAAAGTCTGACAAAAAAAAGAATTAAAAAAGAATACAAAGTCCAACACAAACAAAATACACAAATATAACAAGCAATAGAAGACTTTATATGCCTATATGAAAGGTAATATTTCCATTAAAAAAATATGAGAGACAAATAATGAAATAGAGATATTATATGGATTGGAAAATGATTAAAAAATAGTTATCATTCTATGCAGGCACTAGAATTGATAAAATATATCATAGAAACGTCTCACAAGAATGACAAAAATAATATAAAATTATATATAACAATCATTGGGACAGAATTACATTATAGAATTGATGAATGATATTCCAATAAAGAAAATATGACAGACAAAAATAGTGAAATAGAGGTAGGCTAAAAGCAAGATGGGACAAAAAGTTTTAGATGACATTAACAAAAATAAAGAGGTATGTGGTCAAAAAGAACTGGAAAATTGACAAAAAGTTATGCTTAGCCTCCTCTCAGGAATTTCTAATCAAAATTTGACATAAGCACATAAAGAAAAAATCCTTCAGAGCATATAAGTTCGCCTCCCTTCATCAGATTTAACCCTTGGGAGACAATTAAGCCTCACCAGTCAGTTCCCATCCCAGCTAAGCAGCTTTGTCTCGGGTCACCCTCGTCACCCATCGAGCGGACATCCACCGGGACCCCCTACAGGCGGACCCCCCTCATCATCTTCAATGTGTCCGATATCCCGCCCCCTACCTCTTCGAGGGTCACGGAATACGTGCACGAAGAAGTCTCGGAGCTTGGGTGCCAGGTCGTATCCGGCCGAAGCCTCTAGCGTTAGAACACCTAGCTCGTAAACCAGAGGGTGGTGACTCCCTTGGGTACCTATGCATGCTACATAGGTCATCGATGCCCGAACATCAGGGTTAGGGGGTGACCCAGGTCTCCTCCTCTTAGGGGAGGCTAGTTATGATGCTCTGGAGTCGATGTTACTGTGAGGAAAATTAATTGGAAAAATGATATCCTCTGGACTAGTCAGGTTTTAAATAAATGGCGAATGCGCCAGGAATTGGTCGGAAATTCTTAGATTTTTAAGTGTGTTTAAATTATATTTAACATGGGGAAACCAAACCAACAGAATTGGTAAAATTATAGGAATTCGTGGCATATGGTCTGAGAAAAATGACATGAAAATGAATCCATCAAAACTAAAAAATTGTACAAGGAATTAGATAAGCAAAAATGTGTTAGAAGAATGACACAATAAGAAAAGTAATACAAATAAAAGAAAACTTATACAAATGCACTCAGTGAAATATTTTAAAGAATCAAAGAATGATATGTTATTATACCCACAATGAAGAAAACATAGGAGTCAAGCTATTATAGAAAAAATTCTACAATCAAAAAAATATAGCCCAGCAGCTATTATAGAGAAATGGAGTAAAATAAAAAAAAACAACAATCACAAAAATAAAAAAAACCATCTTGCTGTATGACATCAAGTAAAGTTCAAAGTCGATGCTATTATATTAAAAAGAAAAAAAAAATGACCAAAAGCCAAAAATTGACCAAACTAAAAATAGATGATCTGAATTTTTCTATGATAATAAAGAACCAGAAAATGTAACTCAGACACTCAATAGAATTTTTTCCTACTTAGTTAAATTTAGGAAATCATGAAATCCACTGAAGAACATTAAAAACCATATAAATATATTTACCCAAAAGAAATAATATTTTAGATATACTTATTAGTTCTGATGCATTGTAGGTAATATTCGTGAAAAGGATCAATGTACCGCCTTGGAACTGTATACATCCATCGATTTGTTGTACAAAATCTGTAAAAAAAGAAATAAATAGTATTATATTTCATCATATTTATATTTACATATCTTAAAAAAACTGAAAAATATTAGGGATTTCATATACTTGATAAAAAAAACATTTTAGTATAATATTTACCTAAAATTATTTAGTTCCTCTTCGATGATGAATTTCATCCCATTCCACTGTTGAATTTTGAATTTAGTCCACCTAATGAAATCGTGAAGAGGATGGTTGAATTGAATGCAGCTGTCTCATAAAATCCATTTTCCAAGGCAGTACAATACCCCATTCACAAACTCAATTTTAAAAGGACTCAGAAATCGACTAAAAAAAAATTAAAAATTAACCCAAAACAATACAATTTCATGTAGGCATCAATAGAAATGGAAATGAAATCAAAGCCTTGGCAGTCTTAGAAGAATAGGAGTAAAATAAACAATAATACACATAAGGGAAGAGTTTTAGAAGTACAATCAATATAGAAGAAAAATAATAAAGAGTAAAAGACAGACAACCCTTGTTTGACAGCATATCTCTTAAAGAAAAGAGAAACTATGCGAAATGAGTCTTATGGTCGAAGAACCTAAGATTATCTAACTACCAGTATTTGCTAGTTCATTTAGCGTTATCCAGGGTGCACCACGAGGAGGCGAACTAGCTTTGCACCCCTCCAGAATGAAGAAAATAGAAAGAAAAATACATGAAATAAGAAATAACTTGAAAAAAACTGCATAAAAATGAGAGATGAACTTAGAAAAGTCTGAGAAAATTAACACAATAAATTATACAAAGGAAGGCTTAGAAATGCAATCAGTGGAAGAGTTTATAGAACTGATGTATGACATTCCTATAAGAAAGAAAATATGGGAGACAAATAATGAAATACAGATACGATGCACTGAAAAAACAGGTATGAAAAAAAATAGAAAAACCTATAATTCTATACCTACAGGTCATAGAAGTGACGAAATATGCCTTAGAAGAGTATCAGAAATGACACAAAAATTTATACAAATATATAAAAAAAAACTTGACAATTCCATAATGAAGAAATTATGGGAGACAAATAGTGAGAGATAAGTTGAAAAAAAATGGCATATAAATGGGACATAAAATGGGAAAAAATGGCATGAAAATGAATAAAAACACAAAAAATATACATATATTTAAGACAGTAATTGGAAAGGTAAAATATATAGAATAGATGAATTATATTCAAATAATAAAGGAAATATGGCAGACAAAAATAAAGAGAGGTAGGCTAAAAGCAAGATGAAACAAAAAGTATTAGATGATATTAAAAATATAAAGTATGTGGTCAGAAAGAACAGGAAAATTGCTGAAAAATATGCTTAGCCACCTCTAACGAATATCTAGTCAAAATATGACTGAAGCACATAAAGAAAAATCCTCCAGAGCATATAAGTTCGCCCCCTTCATCAGATTTAACCCTTGGGCGACAATTAAGCCTCACCAGTCAGTTCCCATCGCAGCTAAGCAGCTTCGTCTCGGGTCACCCTCGTCACCCATCGAGCGGACATCCACCGGGACCCCCTACAGGCGGACCCCCCTCATCATCTTCAATGTGTCCGATATCCCGCCCCCTGCCTCTTCGAGGGTCACGGAATACGTGCACGAAGAAGTCTCGAAGCTTGGGTGCCAGGTCGTATCCGGCCGAAGCCTCTAGCGTTAGAACACCTAGCTCGTAAACCAGAGGGTGGTGACTCCCTTGGGTACCTATGCATGCTACATAGGTCATCGATGCCCAAACATCAGGGTTAGGGGGTGACCCGGGTCTCCTCCTCTTAGGGGAGGCTAGTTATGATGCTCTGGAGTCGATGTTACTGTGAGGAAAATGAATTGGAAAAATGATATCCTCTGGACTAGTCAGGTTTTTAAATAAATGGCGAATGCGCCAGGAATTGGTCGGAAATTCTCAGATTTTTAAGTGTGTTTAAATTATATTTAACATAGGGAAACCAAACCAACAGAATTGGTAAAATTATAGGAATTTGTAGAAAAATGACATGAAAATGAATCCATCAAAACTAAAAAATTGTACAAGGAATTAGATAAGCAAAAATGTGTTAGAAGAATGACACAATAAGAAAAGTAATACAAATAAAAGAAAACTTATACAAATGCACTCAGTGAAATATTTTAAAGAATCAAAGAATGATATGTTATTATACCCACAATGAAGAAAACATAGGAGTCAAGCTATTATAGAAAAAATTCTACAATCAAAAAAATATAGGCCAGCAGCTATTATAATAAAAAGAAAAAAAAATGACCAAAAGCCAAAAATTGACCAAACTAAAAATAGATGATCTGAATTTTTCTATGATAATAAAGAACCAGAAAATGTAACTCAGAGACTCGATAGAATTTTTTTCTACTTAATTAAATTTAGGAAATCATGAAATCCACTGAAGAACATTAAAAACCAGTATAAATATATTTACCCAAAAGAAATAATATTTTAGATATACTTATTAATTCTGATGCATTGTTGGTACTATTCGTGAAAAGGATAAATGTACTGCCGTGGAGCTGAATACGTCCATCGACTTGTACAAAATCTGTAAAAAAAGAAATAAATAGTATTATATTTCATCATATTTATATTTACATATCTTAAAAAAACTAAATAATATTAGGGGTTTCACATATTTGATAAAAAAAACATTTTAGTATAATATTTACCTAAAATTATTTAGTTCCTCTTCGATGATGAATTTCATCCTCATTCCACTGTTGAATGTGGAATTTAATCAACCTATAGAGATCTTGAAGAGGATGCGGTTGAATTGAATGCAGCTGTCCCATAAAATCCATGTTCCAAGGCAGTACAATACCCCATTTCCAAACTCAATTTTAAAATGACTTAGAAATGGATTGAAAAAAAAATGAACCCAAAACAATACAATTTCATGTAGGCATCAATAGAAATGAAATCAAAGACTTGGCAGTCTTAGAAGAATAGGAGTAAAATAAACAATAATACAAATAAAAGTTTTAGAAGTACAATCAATATAGAAGAAAAATAATAAAGAGTAAAAGACAGACAACCCTTGTTTGACAGCATATCTCTTAAAGAAAAGAGAAACTATGCGAAATGAGTCTTATGGTCGAAGATCCTAAGATTATCTAATTACCAGTATTTGCTAGTTCATTTAGCGTTATCCAGGGTGCACCACGAGGAGGCGAACTAGCTTTGCACCCCTCCAGAATGAAGACAATATGAGAGAAGAATAGAGATTTGATAAATTGAAAAAAACTGCATAAAAATGAGAAACAAACTTAAGAGAAGTATCAGAAAAAAAAATCAAAAAATTATATACATATAAGAAGACTTAGAAATACAATCAACGGAAGAGTGTATAGAATTGATGTACTATGATGATATTCCAATGAAGAAAATATGGGAGACAAATAGTGAAAGAGATATGATGAATTAAAAAAATGGTATGAAAAGGAATAAAAATATATACTTAATTCTATACAGGCAACAGAAATATTGAAATATTATGTCTTAGAAAAATTTGAGCATGGTGACACAAAAATGTTAAAAATATATAAATAAGGCTACCAATAGAAGAGTGATAAATAATGTAATTCCAATAAGAAAGAAAATATGAGTGAAAAATAATGAAAGAAAAATATGGTGTATTGAAAAAATGGCATGAAAACTTGGATTAAATTGGGGAAAATAGCCTGAAAATGAATATATGTAAACACACAAAAAATATACAAATATATAAAACAATCTTTGGAAGAATATATATAGAATTGATGAATGATATTCATATAAAGAAAATATGGCAGACAAAAATAGAACGAGGTAGACCAAAAGCAAGATGAAGCAAAAATTATTAGATGGTATTAAAAAAATAATGAAGTATGTGGTCAATAAGAACAGGAAAATTGAAAAAATTATGCTTAGCCACCTCTAACGAATATCTAGTCAAAATATGACTGAAGCACATAAAGAAAAATCCTCCAGAGCATATAAGTTCGCCTCCCTTCATCAGATTTAACCCTTGGCCGACGATTAAGCCTCACCAGTCAGTTCCCATCCCAGCTAAGCAGCCTCATCTCGGGTCACCCTCGTCACCCATCGAGCGGACATCCACCGGAACCCCCTACAGGCGGACCCCCCTCATCATCTTCAATGTGTCCGATATCCCGCCCCCTCTACCGTCGAGACGTCACGGGATACGTGCACGAAGAAGTCTCGTAGCTTGAGTGCCAGGTCGTATCCGGCCGAAGCCTCTAGCATTAGAACACCTAGCTCGTAAACCAGAGGGTGGTGACTCCCTTGGGTACCTATGCATGCTACATAGGTCATCGATGCCCGAACATCAGGGTTAGGGGGTGACCCGGGTCTCCTCCTCTTAGGGGAGGCTAGTTATGATGCTCTAGAGTCGATGTTACTCAGGAAAAATCATTGGAAAATTGCTAAGAAATGGCAGAAGTGACATCCTGTCGATGAATCAGGTTTTTTTAAATAAATGGCGAAAGCGCCAGTAATTGATCAGGAATTAGTCCTTATTATAAGATTTTTAAGAGTGATATGTGTGTGATATTATGTGTTTAAATTATACCTAAACAAGGCAAACCAAACCAACAGAAGAAAAATGACATGAAAGTAAAACCATCAAATCTAAAATTCTGTACAAGGAATTACACAAGCAAAAAAATATTGGAAGAATGACAGAATAAAAAAAATAATACAAATAAATGGTTTATAGAAATGCATGTCAATGGATTATTTATATAATAAAAAAGTATATATTTTATAGAATAGATAAATGATGTTATTCGGTATCCCCACAATGAAGAAAATATGGGAGTCAAGCTATTATAAAATAATTATAGTTAACCATAAACAAAATGAAGTAAAATTCGAAGTAGATTTAGTAGTATATTTTACCAAACAAAAGTATGGGAGGCCATCAGCTATTATAGGGAAATGGAAGTAAACCAAAAAAACAACAATCACAATAAATAAAAAAATTAAATGAAACAAACATATCTTCATGCGTACGCCATCAAGTAAAGTTCTAAGTGGATGTTATTATACCAAAAAGAAAAAAAAAATAGCTAAACCAAACCAAACCAAAAATTGGCTAAAATTAAAAATATTTGGTCTGACTTTCTCTACTAATAATAAGGAACCATTAAAATTTAACTCGGAGACTCATTGGGATTTTTTTTCCTACTTAATTAAATTTTAGAAATCATGAAATCCACTGATGAAAATTAAAAACCACTATATGTAAATATATTTACCCGAAAAAAGAAATTAAATTTTGGATATGCTTATAAGTCCTGAGGGATTGTTGGTAATATTGGTAATATTAGTGAAAAGGATAAATGTACTGCCCTGGAACTGTATACATCCATCGATTTGTTGTATAAAATCTGTAAAAAAAGAAATAAATAGTATTACCACAGTATTTTAAATATATCTTAAAAATATGGTTAGTCTGTTAATAAACGTTTAATATATAATTACGAAAATTATTTATAAATAATAAATAATTAAACTTACTTTTAATCAGATAATTGAAGATACTTTCATAAACCAGAAATATGTCCAAACATGAAGATTATATAAGAAGTGACTCAAGTCTCTCTTTTGGGTGGTT